GCATCGCATTTCCACGTTTTGGATGAGAAAAATTTAGGCGTCCATCGAACTTTTATTTCGATACCGGCCATTGATATCGTAAGTTTTATTTATTAATTAAATAAATTCAACTCCAAGTAAAGTAAAACTTTTAATTTTGAGCCTGAAACGTGAAGAATAGAATTTTTGTAATGCGGTAAATATGATGGTTCATACGGTGCGTGGCTGTGATGGTTCATACGGTGCATGGCTGTGATGGTTCATACGGTGCGTGGCNTAGTGTGCTCCACATGTCTAGTGTGCTCCATATGTCTAGTGTGCTCCACATGTCTAGTGTGCTCCATATGTCTAGTGTGCTCCACATGTCTAGTGTGCTCCATATGTCTAGTGTGCTCCACATGTCTAGTGTGCTCCATATGTCTAGTGTGCTCCACATGTCTAGTGTGCTCCATATGTCTAGTGTGCTCCACATGTCTAGTGTGCTCCATATGTCTAGTGTGCTCCACATGTCTAGTGTGCTCCATATGTCTAGTGTGCTCCACATGTCTAGTGTGCTCCATATGTCTAGTGTGCTCCACATGTCTAGTGTGCTCCATATGTCTAGTGTGCTCCACATGTCTAGTGTGCTCCATATGTCTAGTGTGCTCCACATGTCTAGTGTGCTCCATATGTCTAGTGTGCTCCACATGTCTAGTGTGCTCCATATGTCTAGTGTGCTCCACATGTCTAGTGTGCTCCATATGTCTAGTGTGCTCCACATGTCTAGTGTGCTCCATATGTCTAGTGTGCTCCACATGTCTAGTGTGCTCCATATGTCTAGTGTGCTCCACATGTCTAGTGTGCTCCATATGTCTAGTGTGCTCCACATGTCTAGTGTGCTCCATATGTCTAGTGTGCTCCACATGTCTAGTGTGCTCCATATGTCTAGTGTGCTCCACATGTCTAGTGTGCTCCATATGTCTAGTGTGCTCCACATGTCTAGTGTGCTCCATATGTCTAGTGTGCTCCACATGTCTAGTGTGCTCCATATGTCTAGTGTGCTCCACATGTCTAGTGTGCTCCATATGTCTAGTGTGCTCCACATGTCTAGTGTGCTCCATATGTCTAGTGTGCTCCACATGTCTAGTGTGCTCCATATGTCTAGTGTGCTCCACATGTCTAGTGTGCTCCATATGTCTAGTGTGCTCCATATGTCTAGTGTTAATCGCTGAGTATAAAGTACTAACGGACCACGTCTTGCTTGTTTTATTCAAGCCATTTTTTAATCCAAGGCAAACTCAAGCATAAATTTTAGTCTGTCTTCTGTGTTGCTTGGTTTGAAATTCAGCTAGACTCTGAAGCTGAATGTAACAGTTCTGAAGCTCAGCTGCCATAGTCTGAAGCTGGTGAAGCAGTTTCTGGTGACGTGTAGCGCTGCTTCACATAACAATTCTGAAGCTCAGCTGCCATAGTCTGAAGTTGGTGAAGCAGTTCCTGGTGACGTGTAACGCTGCTTCACATAACAATTCTGAAGCTCAGCTGGCATAATCTGAAGCAGGTGAAGCAGTTCCTGGTGACGTGTAACGCTGCTTCACATAACAGTTCTGAAGCTCAGCTGGTATAGTCTGGTACTGGTGAAGCAGTTCCTGGTTGCGTGTAATTTTTCTATATTTTAAAGTAATTTTTTCTATATTTTAATGCTGCTTCAGCCTAGCCAGGGGCGATTGTTGAGCTGCGGCTAGTGAACGGAGAACGACTTTTTCATGCGCGCTCAAGAATGCAAGATTTTCGGCACATTGTTTTTTCTGGAGCACCGTTCACCTTGAGAAAAGTGATACTATGTATCATTGCGAGGAACATAACTGCTGCTCGACTCTTTATGGTATTTTTATCCTGCTGAACCTGAGGCAGTCAAGCACTGGAATTATTAAGACTTTTTTTTTGTGTTTTGACGCTTTCATGTGCGTTGTCTGTATTACTACGTATAGCATCTAGCACGCTCTTGTATACTGATGCTATGCTGCTCTAGTGTATACGTTGCTGATGTTCTGCTGCTCTAGTGAACACGTTGCTGATGTTCTGCTGCTCTAGTGAATACGTTGCTGATGTTCTGCTGCTCTAGTGAACACGTTGCTGATGTTCTGCTGCTCTAGTGTATACGTTGTTGATGTTCTGCTGCTCTAGTGTATACGTTGTTGATGTTTCGATACTAATATTATATACTATTAAATATACTATTATATTCTATTACACCAGTGAACGAATGTGTTGATATTTCGCAGCATCACTGAAGCTGTTGGCCGAAATATTCAAGCATTCTTCTGGACCAAGTTTTGTCAACGAAAAAAATTTTCAGTGAAACATAATTTGATTCACGCGCAGCTTGTGTGTAGAAAAATCGCTATCCCGAGAGAAAGATAACATTCGAAATTTAAATTAATCAAGTTATGCGTTAACTTGATAATTCTAGGTAATCAAGATATATGAGTTAACCTGAGAATATTATTAATCAAGGTACGTGTTAACCTGATAATTGTTATTAATCATGGTATATAGGTTAACCTGATAATTCTGATCAATCAAGGGACAGGTTTCTCGTTTCTATTTATTTTTTACTTGTTATTAATTAATCTTATGTGTGACGTGCCCTCGAAGTTCGCTTAATCCAGACGCCACTATATATATGCTTCATAAAATAATAACAATAATAATAATATTAATAATAATAGGTTAATTTGCGAATGTGACATGTCACAATCGATGACAATCAGACATGATTAATCAGTCGTACACCTGGCGAATACACGTGGAACTGTTAACGAAGCAGGTGTTAATTTGTGCTGCTTTTCCTTCTGCCTCTTATTAACCCTTATGCGCTAATCAATGAGAGCTTTCCAGGTTGAATTTAAACGTAATGTAATCGCATGTTCAGTTATCTGATGCTCGTTATCGTTATTTCTCACCTGCATGTGACAGAGAAATGTGAATAGAAAAATGCCTTTGAAATGAATGTGAATAGAATTTTCAGTCGACGATAGAATTTTTAATTCAGTGCAATTTCGATAGAGTACAGCACTCATTAGCACCACACTTGAGCACTAGCTAGGTGATGACAGAACTAGAATTAGCTAGCATCAGAACTAGAACTAAGAACTAAATAGCAGCACCTCTAGGATTAGTTCTAACCTAAAGTAGAACTTGAAGAACTAAGAACTAAATAGCAGCACCTCTATTGATTAGTTCTAACCTAAAGTAGAACTTGATTGAAGAACTAAGAACTAAATAGCAGCACCTCTATTGATTAGTTCTAACCTAGAGTAGAACTTGAAGAACTAAGAACTAAATAGCAGCCCCTCTATTGATTAGTTCTAACCTAAAGTAGAACTTGATGAATTGTCAGTGGCTGGAGTGCACATGGCTGGGGTGCACATGGCTGGGGTGCACATGGCTGGGGTGTACATGGCTGGGGTGCACATGGCTGGGGTGCGCATGGCTGGGGTGCATCTGGGGTGCACATGGCTGGGGTGCACATGGCTGGGGTGCTCATGGCTGGGGTGCTCATGGCTGGGGTGCACATGGCTGCCAGATGTGCGAGCCTCGCTGGCAGGTCTCCAGCCGCCCGCGTCTACTTCTACCTCTGCTGCCGCGTCTACTTCTACATCAGCTGCCGCGTCTACTTCTACCTCTGCTGCCCGAGGCTACTTCTATCTCTGCTGCCGCGTCTACTTCTACCTCTGCTGCCGCGTCTACTTCTACCTCTGCTGCCGCGTCTACTTCTACCTCAGCTGCCACGTCTACTTCTACCTCAGCTGCCCGCGTCTACTTCTACTTCAGCTGCCCGAGGCTACTTCCACCTCTGCTGCCCGCGTCTACTTCTACTTCAGCTGCCCGAGACTACTTCTACCTCAGCAGCCCGCGTCTACTTCTACCTCAGCAGCCCGCGTCTACTTCTACCTCAGCTGACCGCGTCTACTTCTACCTCAGCTGCCCGCGTCTACTTCTACCTCAGCTGCCCGCGTCTACTTCTACCTCAGCAGCCCGCGTCTACTTCTACCTCTGCTGCCCGCGTCTACTTCTACCTCTGCTGCCCACTTCTACTTCTACCTCAGCTGCCGCGTCTACTTCTACTTTCTACTGACTGAAGCAAACATCAATAATTACTTGAATAATAAACGTGAATATGGTGAACGCGGGGATGAATAAGGGTTAAGCATCACTCATAAGTGAGTCTCTGTGACTCACTTCTGTTACATATTTCAGGAAATAATAGAAGGATTAAGGAGTTAATAGAAGGATTAAGGAGTTAATAGAAGGATTAAGGAGTTAATAGAAGGATTAAGGAGTTAATAGAAGGAGTAAGGAGTTAATAGAAGGATTAACTAGGTAATAGAAGGACTAAGGAGTTAATAGAAAGATTAAGGACTTAATAGAAGGATTAACTAGGTAATAGAAGGATTAAGGGGTAATAGATAGATTAAGGACTTAATAGAAGGATTAAGGAGTTAATAGAGAGAATAAGGAGTTAATAGAAGGACTAAGGAGTCAATAGAAAATATAAGCAGCTCATTAAATGCACTAGTTAACTAGCGTACGGCAAGATAGCGGCAAGAAAATAGGGCTGCTACGCCAGCCTGAGGTGCTTGTTGCAAGCTGGCGCTCTGCACGAGAGAAGAAGAGAAGAAGAAAGAGAGAAGAAAAGAGGAGGATGAGAGCTTCTATGGCAAGGGGGGAGGGAGGGACGAGTGGGAGAGGGGGTAAACGCACAAGTGTAGGGGCCCTAAAACAAAAGTAGGGGAGGAAATATGGGGGGCTAGTGAGGGGCTTGCTGATGATATGGCAGGAAGGTGGGGGTGAGAGAGAGAGAGAGGGAAGAGGTGGGGGTGAGCGAGAGAGAGAGAGAGCGCGGAGAAGAGGGGGGGGGTGAGAGAGAGTGAAGAAGAGGTGTGGGGTGAGAGAGAGCAGAAGAGAGGAGGGGGGTGAGAGGGGGGGGCGTTACACCGGCCTTCAGGCCGCATGCAACCGTCCGTCCACGAATAAAAATCTTAACCCTCTTTCTTCGTGACCTGCAATGAAAAAACATACGAATATATTGATCTGGTACGGAAATTATATAAATTCTATATAATATGTAAATAAAGATGGCTATGTTATTGTATTTAAAGTAATATATTGCAAGGAATGTGCCACAGGTTTGTTCAAGATAGAGAGAGAGAGAAGGAGAGTTGCTTGCACGCCACAGCTGTGGCTGACACTGGGCCTCTCGGATGCCACATGCCGCCACACGCGACAACTCCGCGCCACTGCCTCCCTCTTGACTTCTCTTCGTCACCACACATCTACCATCTACCTACCATCTACACACCACACATCTACCATCTACACACCACGCATCTACCATCTACCTACCACACATCTACCTACTGCACATCTACCTACCGCATATCTACCATCTACCATCTGCTTACCGCATATCTACCATCTACCATCTACCATCTGCCTACCGCATATCTATCGTCTACCTACCACACATCTACCGCATGTCTACCATCTACCTACTGCATATCTACCGTCTACCTACCGCATATCTACCGTCTACCTACCGCATATCTACCAACTACCTACCGCACGTCTACATCTACTTACCTCACATATACTATTTACCTACTGCATTTCTATCATCTACTTACCACACATCGACCATATACCTACCGCATTTCTACCATCTAACCACCGCATATCTTACTACATATCTACCATCTACTTATACGTCATCTATGTCTATGCCACCTACTGTTTTCTTCAAACTTATATCTACTTACCATGCTACCCTTCTACCTATTAGCCTTGTAGACGCCTTGTATCTACTTTCACTGCCAGCCCCCTACTTACAGCATGTGCGTAGCAGGCGAGTAGATCTTACACTCTACTAGCACCTCGCACTGAATTGCAGACTCAGAATTACTGTGGTGAGTGGAGACAATTTTCATTGCTACTCATCTACTTATCTACTTAATAGCATAACACGGGCGCTTGTAATACGGCACAGCAACGTATAATTCTTCAATTAAATTTTGCTACAGATCTTCCCTGACATGTTTTCCGTTCACATCCAACTTGTAAACACTGCGATTATCAAGGGTAAGAATTGTTATTTTAACGTAATATTATTACGTAATAATGTTACGTCTTAAAGTAATATTAAAAAAGGCGGAACAGTGCTACGTTTTGTGTCACTAGCAGCACAATGTGACCTATAAGTTCTTTTGAGTGATACTGGTCAAACAAGTCGACAATAGTATTATGTTTATTAGTATATGTAATATAGTATACTGTAGTATAGTACTATAGTATATATCTGCAGTATGGTACTGTTGTATATTACCAAAGAATATATATATTATAGTACTGAAGTATACACGGGACAAAAATATTCTCAATTATAACTGTACATTCAATGTACATTCATGGAGACATTCACTGAACGCATCGCATTCTCGAGAGAGCGTTTGTTGGCAGGCGTGTTGAGGAAGTTGTGCGTTGACAGAACTGGAATATGTTGCCTGCTCTATATATGGCAACACCGCTGCCTGCCGGATGTAAGGGAACACCGCTGCCTGCCGTATGAATGGCAACACCGCTGCCTGCCGTATGAATGGCAACACCGCTGCCTGCCGTATGAATGGCAACACCGCTGCCTGCCGTATGAATGGCAACACCGCTGCCTGCCGTATGAATGGCAACACCGCTGCCTGCCGTATGAATGGCAACACCGCTGCCTGCCGTATGAATGGCAACACCGCTGCCTGCCGTATGAATGGCAACACCGCTGCCTGCCGTATGAATGGCAACACCGCTGCCTGCCGTATGAATGGCAACACCGCTGCCTGCCGTATGAATGGCAACACCGCTGCCTGCCGTATGAATGGCAACACCGCTGCCTGCCGTATGAATGGCAACACCGCTGCCTGCCGTATGAATGGCAACACCGCTGCCTGCCGTATGAATGGCAACACCGCTGCCTGCCGTATGAATGGCAACACCGCTGCCTGCCGTATGAATGGCAACACCGCTGCCTGCCGTATGAATGGCAACACCGCTGCCTGCCGTATGAATGGCAACACCGCTGCCTGCCGTATGAATGGCAACACCGCTGCCTGCCGTATGAATGGCAACACCGCTGCCTGCCGTATGAATGGCAACACCGCTGCCTGCCGTATGAATGGCAACACCGCTGCCTGCCGTATGAATGGCAACACCGCTGCCTGCCGTATGAATGGCAACACCGCTGCCTGCCGTATGAATGGCAACACCGCTGCCTGCCGTATGAATGGCAACACCGCTGCCTGCCGTATGAATGGCAACACCGCTGCCTGCCGTATGAATGGCAACACCGCTGCCTGCCGTATGAATGGCAACACCGCTGCCTGCCGTATNTGGCAACACCGCTGCCTGCCATACATCTGGCAACACCGCTGCCTGCCATACATCTGGCAACACCGCTGCCTGCAGGAACTGCCAGCCACTGGGCCTCTTAATGACCCGGTGACGTCACGCCAGTAGCGCCGCGGCCACTGACGGGGTGGGTTGTTGGGCGGCGCTTGCTCCGCTGGACGTTGTTTTTTTTAAATCATCTGCTATGTACATGATGATACAGGATGACCTCATACTTATACAATATATGTTTATTGAGCTGTCGTTTCATTATTACTAAATCTATTAATAAGGGATTATTTATAATAAAGTTTAGAAATACATCTTCAATACTTCGTTGCTGGCGAATATTCGAATTACTCTTCCCTAATATTGATGCGGTCATAACTTCACTTAAGAGAAAACTCTGTTCATAATATTGCTCTGTTGGAATTCTGTACCATACTTAAAGCATGTGGGTCAAAAAGAAAACGTTGGGCATTGAGTTAGACGCACTTATAAACGTATACTGTAGATAAACTTAAACTCATATATTAATGTATACCATACATTAAGGTAAACACATTCATCAATGTATACTCGGCCGAATCTCACATACTGGGTATCAAATGAATGCAGCGTTGACGTTTGTCAATTGATTGTACAGTCGCCAGGACATCTGGCAACTCTGGTGATGCCACGTACGTTGCCATGAAGACTTGCCGACCTGCGCCACACGCACGGCTGCGTGGCAGTGGCATCCTGCGCCACACGCACGACTGCGTGGCGTGCCTCACGTCGTACGCGCTGATGCGCATGTCCGGCGCCGTGCGGTGTGGCCGTGCCACAAATTTTGGCCGGTTTTTCTGCGGCCATATGGCCAAAAAAGGCCACCAATTTTAACGCCACTGCAATACGCGAGAAATTTTGCGTTGCACTTCTTGGGAACGTCGATTTCATACTCCCAGGTCTGATATTTTTATTCAGAAGTCTTACGAACTGCAATAAAATATTTCGATATTCCGCACTTCAATAAAACTTTTGATATTCAGCACTTCAATAAAACTTTTGATATTCAGCACTTCAATAAAACTTTTAATATTCCGCATTTCAATAAAACTTTTAATATTCCGCATTTCAATAAAAACTTTTGATATTCCGTACTTCAATAAAAACTTTTAATATTCCGAACTTCAATAAAATTTTTGATATTCCGTACTTCAATAAAAACTTTTAATATTCCGAACTTCAATAAAACTTTTGATATTCCACACTTCAAATAAAACATCCTTATTTACGGTACTGTGCATTAATTAGCACAGTAGCATTATTTAATGAGTAAGTCACAATTATGGGTGTACTACACTCATGTTTCAGTCATGTGCATTTCTTACGAACATAGAATATTTCTAAAATTTAATCCAGTTAATTTTCTTGATGTACCGGCGTAATTACCTGCTTCAATATTCTGAATAATTAATGGCAAACATTTTATAATTAATATTACATGTATTAACAGCTGTCTCTTATACACATCTAGATGTGTATAAGAGACAGCTATTTAAACCATGAATTTTTCTTATTCGTTGCTTTGTAACCGAATTTAGTTGAAATAACATCATTTCTTTAATGTAAATTATTATTTAAATACATTCAAAATTCTGCCCGAAATAGTAACATTGAGTAACCGCCTCTTGATATTTATCTTATGACTTCGAAATTCTCCTTTAGTTGAAAAAATCCTTCATATGTTCACCAGTTAGAATGCTTCGTAAAACATCGTCTCTCATCCCAAATTTGCAAATAAAGCAAATAATTCGTTTCTTCCTGCACCGTATGAGACTAGCTCATTCTACGTACTTATCGAATGAAATTATATTATTGATGTACATCTTCGTCGCAGTGTAAATGCAGTTATTTCATTAGGTGAGTAGTATTTAAGTAATCTCTTAAGAAGTACCTTGAATACGGAGAGTAGAGAGTTTCTACAATCTATTTCTGAGAAGTGTGGGCATCTTCATTCCACAACTGCAAGATCTTGCATGCGCTGTTCCATCTCGTGAACGCCTACGGGACAAAAATGTAGTATCCTCATTTTGGAAATCTTTTTCAACTAAGAAAAAACACGGTGTTATTTGGCTTGTACAGAGTGGCTTGTATTCTACTTATGCTTCTCAGAGCACATGCCGCTGGCAACAAAAAGATTNAAGCGTCGTCTGCGTGGCAAGCGTCGTCTGCGTGGCAAGCGTCGTCTGCGTGGCAAGCGTCGTCTGCGTGGCAAGCGGCGTCTGCGTGGCAAGCGGCGTCTGCGTGGCAAGCGTCCCGAAATAAACGCCTCCGGCAGCGGCCCTCGCTTCTCTTCCCCTCACTTTTTTTAAATTTATTTTCATTCCCCATCTTCCCTTTTTTTCTACTGTTCGTCATTCCTTGATCTCCTCGACCTCTTTTGCTCACGTTCTTCTATCACAAAATTATTCATCGTATACTTATTTCTTTATATACTATATATTATATTTATTTCTTATATACCCCTTACTTTCGCTGCCATACTTCTTTATTTTACCCTTAGTCTCGTCCTCCATCTCCAGCTCGTCATCTCCATGGTCCACCTCCTATTCCTTAACTCCTCTCATTCTGTTGCTCCAAACATTCTTTTTGCCTGAATTTTGTTTCGCTTTCTTCATTAATAATTTCTAACTAAAGAGTACATTTTATTGCTGTTCATTTGTATTTGGATTTTGTGTTATCCTCTTTCAACGCCAGGGTGTCAATTAATTCGATCCTTTTCCAACGCCAGGGTGTCAATTAATTCCATCCTTTTCCAACGCCAGGGTGTCAATTAATTCCATCCTTTTCCAACGCCAGGGTGTCAATTAATTCCATCCTTTTCCAACGCCAGGGTGTCAATTAATTCCATCCTTTTCCAACGCCAGGGTGTCAATTAATTCCATCCTTTTCCAACGCCAGGGTGTCAATTAATTCCATCCTTTTCCAACGCCAGGGTGTCAATTAATTCCATCCTTTTCCAACGCCAGGGTGTCAATTAATTCCATCCTTTTCCAACGCCAGGGTGTCAATTAATTCCATCCTTTTCCAACGCCAGGGTGTCAATTAATTCCATCCTTTTCCAACGCCAGGGTGTCAATTAATTCCATCCTTTTCCAACGCCAGGGTGTCAATTAATTCCATCCTTTTCCAACGCCAGGGTGTCAATTAATTCCATCCTTTTCCAACGCCAGGGTGTCAATTAATTCCATCCTTTTCCAACGCCAGGGTGTCAATTAATTCCATCCTTTTCCAACGCCAGGGTGTCAATTAATTCCATCCTTTTCCAACGCCAGGGTGTCAATTAATTCCATCCTTTTCCAACGCCAGGGTGTCAATTAATTCCATCCTTTTCCAACGCCAGGGTGTCAATTAATTCCATCCTTTTCCAACGCCAGGGTGTCAATTAATTCCATCCTTTTCCAACGCCAGGGTGTCAATTAATTCCATCCTTTTCCAACGCCAGGGTGTCAATTAATTCCATCCTTTTCCAACGCCAGGGTGTCAATTAATTCCATCCTTTTCCAACGCCAGGGTGTCAATTAATTCCATCCTTTTCCAACGCCAGGGTGTCAATTAATTCCATCCTTTTCCAACGCCAGGGTGTCAATTAATTCCATCCTTTTCCAACGCCAGGGTGTCAATTAATTCCATCCTTTTCCAACGCCAGGGTGTCAATTAATTCCATCCTTTTCCAACGCCAGGGTGTCAATTAATTCCATCCTTTTCCAACGCCAGGGTGTCAATTAATTCCATCCTTTTCCAACGCCAGGGTGTCAATTAATTCCATCCTTTTCCAACGCCAGGGTGTCAATTAATTCCATCCTTTTCCAACGCCAGGGTGTCAATTAATTCCATCCTTTTCCAACGCCAGGGTGTCAATTAATTCCATCCTTTTCCAACGCCAGGGTGTCAATTAATTCCATCCTTTTCCAACGCCAGGGTGTCAATTAATTCCATCCTTTTCCAACGCCAGGGTGTCAANTACAAGCGCTAGTGAGGGATGGATGAATGAGGGATGAATGAGACGCTGGTGAGGGTTGGATGAAAGAGGGATGAATGAGACGCTAACGAGGGATGGATGAATGAGGGATGAATGAGACGCTGGTGAGGGATGACATAAACACAAATAATTTGCTGTATCACAAGTGAGGGAGGGATGAATCAAGCGTATAGTCAGGGCCTTTTCGAATAATTTAATATATCACAAGTTACTTAACACATATATACTGTTTTTGTACATACAAACGGTAATAAGGGCCCACAAATCATTTAATGTATCACAAGTATTTGTACATACAGACGCTAGTAAGGGATGGATGAAATATGCATGAATGAAACGCTAGTCAGGGCCTCTACAAAATTTTGCTGTATCACAAGTTACGTATCACAAATACCGTTGATACCGTGTACATGTACACGGTACCGATTACCGTACGTAAATACCGTTTGCACAAAGTACATGCATGCGAACGGCAATGAATGCCCAAAAAATCATATAATGTATCACAAATACAGTATTTGTACATACAAACGGTAATGGCCCCACAAATCATTTAATGTATCACAAGTTACATCCAAGAGGCCGGTCTCGATGGGTCTGATAAGAGCGCCATATCGTGCCTGCTGATAACATAGAGATTATAACTGTTCTCTAAGAACTACACACGAGATTGTCTGAGTGGCTTGTCTCATCTAAATGGATTTTCGAGAACTGCTGGAATAATTTCAAAATAAAGATGTTTGGATTTGTTGAGTTCGAAAAATTAGAATCTTGTAATTCCTACAAATTGGCACTTAATCTCATCAAGTATCGCCTTTTATGGGATAAATATGTTCGGTTTCTTTATCTGGTACGAAAAGCCATGATAACTTTTTTTATTCAAATGTAAAAACGATCTAATTTCAGGGCACACATCGCCTTATTATTGCATTTTCTCATTTATAGGAAAACTGCGCTATATTGTGCTCGTCATGTTCGTCCGTTTGTCTGTCCGTCTGTCTGTCCGTCTGTCTGTTCGTCTGTTTGTCCGTCCGTCTGTCCGTCTGTCTGTCNCTCTCTTCCCCACTCCCTCCCTCTTCCCTCTCCTCCCCATTCCCTCCCTCCTCCCTCTCTTCCCCACTCCCTCCCTCTTCCCTCTCCTCCCCATTCCCTCCCTCCTCCCTCTCTTCCCCACTCCCTCCCTCTTCCCTCTCCTCCCCATTCCCTCCCTCCTCCCTCTCTTCCCCACTCCCTCCCTCTTCCCTCTCCTCCCCATTCCCTCCCTCCTCCCTCTCTTCCCCACTCCCTCCCTCTTCCCTCTCCTCCCCATTCCCTCCCTCCTCCCTCTCTTCCCCACTCCCTCCCTCTTCCCTCTCCTCCCCATTCCCTCCCTCCTCCCTCTCTTCCCCACTCCCTCCCTCTTCCCTCTCCTCCCCATTCCCTCCCTCCTCCCTCTCTTCCCCACTCCCTCCCTCTTCCCTCTCCTCCCCATTCCCTCCCTCCTCCCTCTCTTCCCCACTCCCTCCCTCTTCCCTCTCCTCCCCATTCCCTCCCTCCTCCCTCTCTTCCCCACTCCCTCCCTCTTCCCTCTCCTCCCCATTCCCTCCCTCCTCCCTCTCTTCCCCACTCCCTCCCTCTTCCCTCTCCTCCCCATTCCCTCCCTCCTCCCTCTCTTCCCCACTCCCTCCCTCTTCCCTCTCCTCCCCATTCCCTCCCTCCTCCCTCTCTTCCCCACTCCCTCCCTCTTCCCTCTCCTCCCCATTCCCTCCCTCCTCCCTCTCTTCCCCACTCCCTCCCTCTTCCCTCTCCTCCCCATTCCCTCCCTCCTCCCTCTCTTCCCCACTCCCTCCCTCTTCCCTCTCCTCCCCATTCCCTCCCTCCTCCCTCTCTTCCCCACTCCCTCCCTCTTCCCTCTCCTCCCCATTCCCTCCCTCCTCCCTCTCTTCCCCACTCCCTCCCTCTTCCCTCTCCTCCCCATTCCCTCCCTCCTCCCTCTCTTCCCCACTCCCTCCCTCTTCCCTCTCCTCCCCATTCCCTCCCTCCTCCCTCTCTTCCCCACTCCCTCCCTCTTCCCTCTCCTCCCCATTCCCTCCCTCCTCCCTCTCTTCCCCACTCCCTCCCTCTTCCCTCTCCTCCCCATTCCCTCCCTCCTCCCTCTCTTCCCCACTCCCTCCCTCTTCCCTCTCCTCCCCATTCCCTCCCTCCTCCCTCTCTTCCCCACTCCCTCCCTCTTCCCTCTCCTCCCCATTCCCTCCCTCCTCCCTCTCTTCCCCACTCCCTCCCTCTTCCCTCTCCTCCCCATTCCCTCCCTCCTCCCTCTCTTCCCCACTCCCTCCCTCTTCCCTCTCCTCCCCATTCCCTCCCTCCTCCCTCTCTTCCCCACTCCCTCCCTCTTCCCTCTCCTCCCCATTCCCTCCCTCCTCCCTCTCTTCCCCACTCCCTCCCTCTTCCCTCTCCTCCCCATTCCCTCCCTCCTCCCTCTCTTCCCCACTCCCTCCCTCTTCCCTCTCCTCCCCATTCCCTCCCTCCTCCCTCTCTTCCCCACTCCCTCCCTCTTCCCTCTCCTCCCCATTCCCTCCCTCCTCCCTCTCTTCCCCACTCCCTCCCTCTTCCCTCTCCTCCCCATTCCCTCCCTCCTCCCTCTCTTCCCCACTCCCTCCCTCTTCCCTCTCCTCCCCATTCCCTCCCTCCTCCCTCTCTTCCCCACTCCCTCCCTCTTCCCTCTCCTCCCCATTCCCTCCCTCCTCCCTCTCTTCCCCACTCCCTCCCTCTTCCCTCTCCTCCCCATTCCCTCCCTCCTCCCTCTCTTCCCCACTCCCTCCCTCTTCCCTCTCCTCCCCATTCCCTCCCTCCTCCCTCTCTTCCCCACTCCCTCCCTCTTCCCTCTCCTCCCCATTCCCTCCCTCCTCCCTCTCTTCCCCACTCCCTCCCTCTTCCCTCTCCTCCCCATTCCCTCCCTCCTCCCTCTCTTCCCCACTCCCTCCCTCTTCCCTCTCCTCCCCATTCCCTCCCTCCTCCCTCTCTTCCCCACTCCCTCCCTCTTCCCTCTCCTCCCCATTCCCTCCCTCCTCCCTCTCTTCCCCACTCCCTCCCTCTTCCCTCTCTTCCCCACTCCTTTCCTCTCCCCTTTTCTCCCTACACCCTCCCCTCCCCACTCCCGGGGCCCCTGTCCCCACCTCAAGTCCCACCAGTCCAGGTTGTGCTGGACAATCAAAGGTTAAAATATAACATTTAAAATAACACATTTTAATTATAGCAGCAGAAATTCTGCCCACTAACTCGGCGGTAACAACAAAAAATGTTAAAAAAACGTAGAAATCGTTAAAAAACGTTAAAAAACCTAACAAGTCTGGACAATTCGAAACGTCACAAAATTTTGGCCAGTTCGACCAATGCTTTGTTTTTTCCTTTTGCATTAACACTGAAAAATGGAGAAATTTTTGAAGAAATGTGATACGAATCTAAATGTTAATTATTATCAATGAGAACGATATATAGCGATGAGTTGTGCTTGAGTGATGAGTGGTGCTTGAGTGATGAGTGGTGCTTGAGTGATGAGTGGTGCTTGAGTGGTGAGTGGTGCTTGAGTGATGAGTGGTGCTTGAGTGATGAGTGGTGCTTGAGTGTTGAGTGGTGCTTGAGTGATGAGTGGTGCTTGAGTGATGAGTGGTGCTTGAGTGATGAGTGGTACTTGAGTGTTGAGTGGTACTTGAGTGATGAGTGGTGCTTGAGTGGTGAGTGGTGCTTGAGTGGTGATAACTGATGGTAGCGCAGTTATCCTGGAACGCTCATTTACATACATCACTGCCTCTTCCCATACATAATTTCTTGAGTGAGAAATTTATATTTAAGCGAACTAGATAAAAAAAAATAGATTAGGATCTAACTAGATTTTTACTAATAATTGGAAGTGAAATTCGAGAATTTACTAAGTAGAGGTGCATAGTGCTAAGGTAGAAATGTCGATATCAAAATCTGTAAAGTGGATGCTTCAAAACTTACAGTTCCAAATTCAGAAACTTTTTCGCAAACACTCTTGATAGATTTTGCATTACTTTTCTTTCGCCATAGCATTGATTGGTGTCGTAACACGGATGTATGCCGAATTACGGGTGTACGTCGTAACACCGGTGGCTGTAACACGGGCGGATGACGTAACATCGGTAGATGTAACACAGATAGATGTCGTAACATGGATGTATGTAACGCAGGTGTACGTCGTAACACTGGTGGATTTAACACGGGTTTACGTCGTAACACTGGTGGATTTAACACGGGTGGATGTCGTCACACAGGTGGATCATGGTTGAACTATATAAGGTTGACCCCCGAGAATTTCCGTCTTTCAGTTCAGCTTTCTTGTTACGTCACTGATATCGAGAAACGTAAACACTCCCTTCATTGCCATGACGGATTGGTTGACTGGTTTGATCGCATTTCGGTGATTGGTTAATGCCCGTGACGTCACTGAGATCAGTGACGTCACGGGCAAACAACGAACTACATCCGCAAAAATGAGCTTCTCATGGGTCAACCTTGTACTAGTTCAACCATGACGTAAATGTCGTAAAACTGGTGGATGTCGTAACACTGTTGTAGGGTAGAATTAAATATTTCTGTATTGTGTAATAGCTTGTCTAACGCTAACCTTACATCATATACTGATTTGGAAATTTATCTTTATTTCTAAATTTTTTTGTTTAATAAAATTCGGTTTTGTCTTTATGTTTGGTTAGCGGAGTTACCGCTGACTGACGAGGTGTCATCGCTCAGCGGCGGGTTCATTAGAGAGCGAATTTTAAAAGAAATTTTAGATTAGATTTTTTAGATTTTTAGAGATTAACATGCTTCAGATGCGGAGCTCTCAAGCATGTTAATAATTGGTTTTTGTTGAAAATGAAACTCCGTAACTCCACGAAATGACTTTTGTTGTACATGTAACTCCGTCTGACTCTAATAAACGCTTCTTACTGTGATCTGTGCTACGTTTACCCTGAACCACCGGAAAGAACGACCCTAAAACAACGCAGGTATATGTCCCCTACAATGTGGAGCGAGCAAACAGAGTTTGTTGAGACCAACACTTGTGTTGTATTGATCCAACTTAACGACTTTGCTGCGACCATATCACGGCATTGATAAATGAGATGCTCATAGCGCACGATCAGGTCATACCTGACATCAGGGACAGGACTGGGGGGGTATTTTAATGGGATATTTTAATGGGATATTTTAATAGACTTACAGGGATGTCTTGAAGTGGGGAAACTGGCGCTACAGCTGGTGTCAGCTCAGGTGGCTGCTGAGACAGCTGGTGTCAGCTCAGATGGCTGCTGAGACACAGCTGGTGTCAGCTCAGATGGCTGCTGACATAGCTGGTGTCAGCTCAGGTGGCTGATGAGACAGCTGGTGTCAGCTCAGGTGGCTGCTGAGACACAGCTGGTGTCAGCTCAGGTGGCTGCTGAGACACAGCTGGTGTCAGCTCAGGTGGCTGCTGAGACACAGCTGGTGTCAGCTCAGGTGGCTGCTGAGACACAGCTGGTGTCAGCTCAGGTGGCTGCTGAGACACAGCTGGTGTCAGCTCAGGTGGCTGCTGAGACACAGCTGGTGTCAGCTCAGGTGGCTGCTGAGACACAGCTGGTGTCAGCTCAGGTGGCTGCTGAGACACAGCTGGTGTCAGCTCAGGTGGCTGCTGAGACACAGCTGGTGTCAGCTCAGGTGGCTGCTGAGACACAGCTGGTGTCAGCTCAGGTGGCTGCTGAGACACAGCTGGTGTCAGCTCAGGTGGCTGCTGAGACACAGCTGGTGTCAGCTCAGGTGGCTGCTGAGACACAGCTGGTGTCAGCTCAGGTGGCTGCTGAGACACAGCTGGTGTCAGCTCAGGTGGCTGCTGAGACACAGCTGGTGTCAGCTCAGGTGGCTGCTGAGACACAGCTGGTGTCAGCTCAGGTGGCTGCTGAGACACAGCTGGTGTCAGCTCAGGTGGCTGCTGAGACACAGCTGGTGTCAGCTCAGGTGGCTGCTGAGACACAGCTGGTGTCAGCTCAGGTGGCTGCTGAGACACAGCTGGTGTCAGCTCAGGTGGCTGCTGAGACACAGCTGGTGTCAGCTCAGGTGGCTGCTGAGACACAGCTGGTGTCAGCTCAGGTGGCTGCTGAGACACAGCTGGTGTCAGCTCAGGTGGCTGCTGAGACACAGCTGGTGTCAGCTCAGGTGGCTGCTGAGACACAGCTGGTGTCAGCTCAGGTGGCTGCTGAGACACAGCTGGTGTCAGCTCAGGTGGCTGCTGAGACACAGCTGGTGTCAGCTCAGGTGGCTGCTGAGACACAGCTGGTGTCAGCTCAGGTGGCTGCTGAGACACAGCTGGTGTCAGCTCAGGTGGCTGCTGAGACACAGCTGGTGTCAGCTCAGGTGGCTGCTGAGACACAGCTGGTGTCAGCTCAGGTGGCTGCTGAGACACAGCTGGTGTCAGCTCAGGTGGCTGCTGAGACACAGCTGGTGTCAGCTCAGGTGGCTGCTGAGANCACAATAAGTACGTGTACGCAATAAGTACGTGTACGCAATAAGTACGTGTACACAATAAGTACGTGTACACAATGAACACATGTACACAATAAGTACATGTACACATGCTTCTGCTGTGTGTTCTCTGTATAAATCCATATCCAAGTACACATCTGTATTGTTCACAACCATTCTCAATTATTTTACTAAAGCTATATATATGACGTACGATGTTAAAATAATTAATTCCATAACTCACAAAAATTTAGGAATCATTGGAGCTTTTTATTTTATTTTTATTTTTTTAATTTTAATTTTTAAAATTTTTTAATTTTTTAATTTTAATTTGCCTCTGATCCATCATTAGAGTCGCTGACGTCACGTCTAAATCTCAATGAAACAATTATAATTATGATGTTTGTTATTATTATTATCATATTTATTTGTATAATCTTGATACCTATTTTTTATATAATTATAATGATATATAATATAATTAATAATATTTCTACAATTACTTCCGTTATTGAGCGCAATAGATGGAAACTGTACGCAGACGATGTGTATGCAGACGATGTGTACGCAGACGATGTGTACGCAGACGATGTGTACGCAGACGATGTGTACGCAGACGATGT